CGTGTTTCTTCCTGGAGGTGGTGGTTTTCCTCCGAGTAGCTCGGGCAGGGTGACGTGCCCAGGGGAGATAACTAGCAGTTTAGCTGAGCTCCTCATTTCCAGGCGTGACCACACATCTTGGAGTTTCTGGAAAGCTACGGGTGGAAAAAGCAGTGTGTCCAACATCAGGGGCAAAATAAAACTGAAAAGTATATTTGTGGTAACAGCCAGATGGATAACGCTTTTCTTAGTTCAAAAATGTTGGAACAAAAAATATTGGGCAACTACATTTCTTCCATTATTATTAACCCAGCTGAATGCTTTACACCATCTAGTTATGAATATTGTTTCTGTGTGTTAGCTTTTGTAAGTGGAATGTAAACAATCAGAGGGAAAGCCAAGTATAAAAACTGCTGTAACGTAATTTGCAGGCTATGAAATATGCAAAGGACTCTAAGCATCTTTGGCAAAGCAATTATTTTGAGATTAAATATCCTAGTTTTTTAATTTTTTTAAGGAAAAGTGGATCCTTTTTCAGCAGCCCAGCACATCTAGAGTTATGACTAAAAACAAGGTTTCAAATGGTCAGAGAACTGAATTGCTTGTGAGATTCATAAAAACACAATGAGACTCAGAAAATGGCTCATTCATCTTTGTCATTAAGACAAGATGTTAAAAATAAAAGCTAAGAAAACTATTCATTAGGAATTATTGTGCAAACATAAAACATGAGGACTGTCTGCAGCTGTGATCATTGATTGACTAAATTTTGCCCTGCTTGCTTACAGACAGCTAAAAGTTCTGGAGATGTAACCCCATTATTTTCCCAGTCTTAGGAGGCTGTGTTGAGGAGCAGCAGCTCTGTCCAAAAGATCAGGGAAAAAAGCAAAAATATCATTTTGATATAGAAATACCTTATAAGACTGAAAACCCTATTGACTATAAAACCTATATTTAATAGGGAGAGTGAAGGTTTTATTAAATCCATCACTGTCTGCAATATGGATCCAAGGAGAAGAAATTAACTTACCAGAGTTGAAAAGTACATCACTATGCAGTTTGCGAAAAGTGATTCTAAGAACATTTAAACACACTGATGATGATAAAACTAGTTCAAAATATTTATCTGCAGTCATTACTTACCAGTGTTTCAGAAAATATCTGTAACTGATACTCACAAAGAGGAATCTGTGAAAAGCTCAGACACCGCAGAAAATGGTTCCTATGTAAAAAGCTGCTCTATTTATGCTTCATAGCCATCATTACTTTCCTTATAAATTAATACTTTAAACTAGAATTAAAACCCATCTTGTACAAAAATTAGTAGAATATGCAACATTAAAGTGTCTTTTTATTTAAAAAATGAATAGCCATGTATTTTAACAAAGACCACAGAAAAAATACAAGTTTTGTGATGTTGTCTTTAAATATAATTTGGTTTTGTCTTTAAATGTGGTAAAGCAAAGAATTCTTGAAAGAAAACCACACATTTTTGTTTAGAAGAGCAAAATGGATAGCACACAGCAGCCAGACAACTCAACATGAGTTCTTGTTATATATGCACAAGAATGCTGTGATCTTTAAGAATGATATTCTAGCACTTCTTTGGAGATAGTAAGAATGCACTTCTAAATGCATTAAACTGCAATAAAGTTAAATATCTCAGCAAGATCTGTTAGGCCCAGTACTAGAAGTGATAAATTTAATAATGGATTGTTTGTATGGGCTTCACAAGACAGCAGGACCCTCAACCCGGGACAGAGCTGGAGTTGAGAATGAAGCCAAATTTGTACTTGAGAACACTATACTAGAGCTGTGTGTTAGGGACTTAACTGCTGCCAAAATATTGTATCTGAAGAGCATGGTCTAGAAGTAATGTAATTTACAGAAGCTTGATGGAAGTAGGTCACCTGCATAATTTGTATCTACAGTCCACAGATATTTGTGAAAATTAAAACTACTGATTATGCTGAAGTAAGAAAATTAGACATGTATTGAGATAGAGGGATTAGAAGTACCCAAATCTGTAAAATACCAGTTACTTATGAGATTAACTGGAAACACAGCACTACATATGTGGTCATTAAGATATGCATATATATAGCTGGCATAATCAGGGAAACCAGGATGTGTTCACATGGGAAAAACAAAAGTCAACACAACAATTGTAAAAGGACAAATATTGTTTTATCTTTGTAGGAAACATTAAAACTGACTGTAGTGCACATTTTTTAAATGCTAAGAGTTACCACGTGAAAGATAACAGTATTCACGACAAGCTTTTATTAAATGGGTCTTTGTCATATTGCTAGGACCCTGCATGGAAACTTTACCATAAGCAGTAGGTTCTGATAGATGTTAAAATGTCCCTAAAAAAATACTTGAGGTACAAAGTACTTTGCAGCTCATGTTATGGAAAGAGTACATCTAGTCTTTCTTAAACTCCTGGACGAATAGATCAGAAGAGTTAATACATGTGAAAAAATTGTTCTGAAATGTAGAAGTACTATGTCTCCAGGGAGTAACTGACACATAACTGCTTGACATGTCCAGTCTACTGTTTTTAAATATTACCAAGCCAGTGTTATGTGTCTGTGCTTTATGTAGCATTTCTGCTATTTCCATTAATGCAGAAAAAAGTACCTCTTTCTCTTTTCTATTTTAGAAAATATCCTTTCTAATTTTGCACTGCCCTTCTCTTATTAACTGAAGCACAAAGCTGCAAATTATTTATATTTCTAACACATGGGAAAAGAGTATTTTTAAAAAATATGCCTATAAAGGCCCTTCTGGAAGTACATCTCAAACATAGAAAGTGTTTTCTTTTCCATGGTATGTATGCAATCTTACATGTATTCTGAATTCCCTAATGCCTATAAAATGAATTGTAATTGTAATGATAAAATCTGTTGACCACACAAGTAGCTCATCTCTTCTTTGATCTGTGTTGTTTATAAATATGCATGAGAGACATGGATGTAGCCTTTACTTCAAATTCCATAGCTCTTTGCCTATGTGTAAGTTAGTTTGTATTGTTAAATCATACTTCCTTGCAGACAAGAGAGAAAAATAGACTTCTTAGTGTCCCTTGCAAAACTAGCATTTAGTAACCTTGATCCTGAGGAGTTCAATCACAACTCTTTTTGTTGTTGTTTTTTTCTCTAACCTTCCTGTTCTAGTCAGAACATCTTTTCAGGATCAAAGGGAAAAAAGAGATATTAAAGGACCAAGCTTAAATACCAGTGCTTCACTGTGCTAAAGGTGCTGATTGCGCTTTTTGACCCTGACAGACTTGTTGCTGTGCTCTTCACTTCCTCTCCAAAGCAAATTGAGAAAAAGGGAATCAGCAAATCAGTCTACATGCATGTATATCTTACCTGAAAAGTCTACCGTCCTCTACTAGTAACTGAAATAGGTCTAACTTCTTCAGATTTCCTTATCAGGTCCTATATCCCAGTCTGTTTTCTGCTTCATCCTTAAGGATCCATTTTCAATAGATCTTTTGATTTTTGTATACTCTTTTACCTTTTGTATAGGGAGCAATCCTCAAAACTTTGCAGAGAAATAGATTATCTTGAACCATTTCCTGCCAAATGATAAGCTAAAACAATCCAAGTCTCATTAGCTTTTCACTAAAAGCAATAATCAAATCAGAAAAATCTAAAATGTTCTTCTGCTTCCTCAAAGTTACTGAAAACATTGTGGTAGAACACTAAAACCAGTCATGAGATCATGCTCTGGAGACCTATAACCAAAGCACTGTCAGAAGGTCACTATCAACCAGCAAAGGCACAAAAATTCAAACTACTAGAGAAAGACATTAGCCACGTATTGGTGGGAGTAGAGTCAACTGCTTTACCATACTATTAGTCCTAAAGATACCAAGCAACAGGAATATAAGTCCCCAGAGCATCCAATGAAATTCAAGATGTAACATGTTCCCTTTTTCCTATATAGGATTAACTTAAATTGCCAGAAATGCCTCTTTACTCTTGACAACACTTACCACGCAATATCATGCATTGTAGAGTTTGAGGATCCCACCTCTGAGGGTGTGATTTTCTTGAGCATCTGATCTATAAACTGAAGAAATCAAGTTTTGTACTCTGAAGACCCAAAAGTCTTATAAAATTACAAAAAAGAGTTAACACAAAGGCATAATGTGGGTGGAATATGTATGGCATAAGTGGGGTGTCTCTTTTTTTT